ATGTACAGGTGTGCATTTAGCAATTTCTTATTCTCGTGACCACCAAGTTGGATTAGAAAAGGGAATAGTTAGTGAAGCTAGTTGAGTGAGGTCCAGCTTTGTTTGACTTCCACAGTTACATTCTAGAAGAAAAGTGTGAATAGAAGAAAAATATTAAGGGAAGTTTTAGAGATTAGTGATATTGTTTGCTTGAATCTTTGATCAGTAGAGGTATCTTGTAGTTCTCATTTGTCAAAGAGCAACCAAACTGAGGAGAGTGCTGAATGCAATTATGAAGTCGTGAATGGTAAGATACGGGGAATAATGAGCAGCTTGTTTTTCTGTTCTAAAGAAATCAAAAGAAACATAAAAAGTTCGTTGAAAAAAAGAAACATCAAACGGAATACGGACAATCATTTGCAGGGATTTCTGCTGTATAGCTAATAACATGAGTATAACTTGTCTCGTGCCGATTGCAACAAGCAGTAGCAAGTAGAGGGCTAGTCATCTCAATGGGCTGGACTCTCCCCCGTAGATGTTATGAAATGGCGTTACTGTTACTACTTTTTTTTAAAATAAGTAGTCAAGAGAAAGAAGGAAAAAAAAACCCCGAAGGATACAGCAGTATTGACATCTGAATCTGACCCAACTTCACTGGTCCCCCAGACCATCACAACCGCCTTTCCAGCTTTACTTGTTCTTTTGGCTTCATTGAGGGATGGAGGAGTTACTTGCATACTTTCTCCAGCTTTAATGTTCTATACCCCTTCATGCTCATTGCTCTGATTCTGCTTACTGTCAATGGATACAAATGTTTCCTGTTTTAACTTTACCCTCATCTTTATTACAGGTTTGACAGCAAGAGATTCTGTAGAGACTGTAGGAGGAATGTTATCCGAGAATTCAAAGAGCTAAAGGAGCTGAAGCGTATGCGGAGAGAACAGCGCTGCACTACTTGGTTCTGTGTTGCGGATACTGCTTTCCAATATGAGGTAGTGATATTCACCATTTTTTGTTGTGGTTTATTGTGTGCAATAACCTGCCAAAGATCTTGATTATGCGGGTTGATAATATGAGTATCGCGTTCACTATTTGCTCAGGTGTCGGATGATATGGTACAAGCTGATTGGCACCAAACTTTTGCTGATTCTGTTGGGATGTATCATCACTTCGAATGGGCTGTTGGAACAGGAGAAGGGAAGTCTGATATTCTAGAATTTGAAAATGTAGGCATGAGTGAGAGTGTGCAAGTCAATGGATTGGATCTTGGTGATTTGACAGCATGCTTTATCACTTTAAGGGCTTGGAAAATGGATGGCCGATGCACTGAGCTTTCTGTAAAAGCTCATGCATTAAATGGTCAACAATGCGTCCATTGTAGGTTAATAGTTGGTGATGGTTTTGTTACTATCACAAGAGGTGAAAGCATCAGAAGATTTTTTGAACATGCTGAAGAGGCTGAGGAAGAAGAGGCACGTAACACTTACTTTCCTTATTACACTATTTGATTTTCAAGAAACTTTTATCGTCATGTTAAATTTTCTTCTTCTGATAGTACTAAGCCGCCGTTACTTGTATTTTTGACTCTTCTAGGATGATGACTCCATGGAGAAGGATGGAAATGAGTTTGATGGAGAATGCTCCCGTCCCCAAAAGCATGCGAAGAGTCCTGAACTTGCTAGAGAATTCCTTCTAGATGCTGCTACTGTTATTTTCAAGGAACAGGCATGTGACATTGTGTGCATAATGATTTATTTTCCTTTCTCTGAGTCCAAAATGTGAATGATAATTGTTTACTGAGGTCTCTTTTCGTAGACGTTGTATTGGATTGATAGTACTGTTGTATATCGTAAACTATGAATGATGTTTGTCGAGGAAGGATTATCTTGGGCTCTCTAGATTGTAGTATGATGTTTCTTGATCATAGCTAATCAAAGAATGGAGCTGTTTTGGGTAAGATAAAATTCATGTATATGATTTTGAATTGAGATGAATATGAAATGGTGCCTTAGTGACTATCTGGTTGTGGTGTGCTTTTGAAATTTGAGGCTCATGCAGATGATTCTCGGTTAAGATGCTCCATAACTCAAACAATGTGATGCTATTTCAGGTTGAAAAGGCTTTCAGAGAAGGAACTGCACGCCAGAATGCCCACAGCATTTTTGTCTGCCTTGCACTAAACCTGTTGGAAGAACGAATTCATGTTGCATGCAAAGAAATTATTACCCTGGAAAAGCAGGTATGTGTTCTCGTTCATCTATTCTTTCTGCTTATGAAATATTACCTTCTTTTAAGTGACTGTATTTGGATTTATTTTCATTAATATCACCATGTAGATGAAACTGCTTGAAGAAGAAGAGAAGGAAAAGCTCGAAGAAGAAGAGCGTAAGGAGAGAAGAAGACTGAAAGAAAGAGAAAAGAAGCTTCGAAGAAAAGAGAGGTTAAAAGGGAAAGAAAGAGATAAAGACAAGCAGAGTTGTGGATCAAATGATGTTCCTCTTCTTCTGGATGCAGTTAAGGATGATGAGTCATCACTGACATTCAGTGAAGAGCAGCTCGATAATGGTGCCAGCTGCAGGGACTCGGTAAGTGAAGCAGGTGATAATAATTCTGTATCCAGTCCTGGATCACCTAATACAGAAGAACAGTACTCAAATGGGCGCACCACTTTCATGGAGGAAAATGATTCATATGATTGTCTTGATGGTGTTGTCATAAGTGGGAAAGATGGGAGTAGTGGCTCGTTCACAATCGAGCAATCTAAATCTTCTCGCCGGAGATTGAAATGTTGGAAAGAGGTCCCGCTGGATTCATCTTTGCGGTGGCCTGATAGGCGTGGTCGGCCTATTGACAACCCTACAAGAAGCATCAATGGATCAAGTAGACAATCAAGGATTAGTAGTGGTCCCAAGTCCAATACTAGAAACTTTGGTCTTAGGTTCAGTGAGAAGTTCAATGGTGCCAACAACAGGATTAGTGAGAGATACGATTTCCATTCATGTAAGCTGGAACCTGCACCAGATATGCCGAAGCAATTCTACCGTGGTAACAAGCACAGTCAAGCGGATTACTTACGTGAAGGTTGTGGAAGACCCAAAAACAAGGGGGGCCCCACTGCAAATTCTTCGACACCTCATCATCCCAAGAAAGTATGGGAGCCCATGGAATCTCAGAAGAAGTACCCTAGGAGTATTTCAGATAGTGATTTTACCTTGAGGTCATCATCGACTTTGAAAGGTGGAGTAGCATCTGACAGTGTCTTTTCCAAGTCATCATCTGGTGGTAAGTTTTGCAGTAGCAATTCTGGTGAAACTGACTGCAAAATGAATGAAGCTGTAGATTCTAGTTCTAGTGCGAAGGAAGGAGTGAAGGGTTCTGGCTCTTATGAGGAAGTCAACTCGTGTCCTGCCAATGGCTCAACATCTAATGGGACTTCAAATTCTAGCTCCTCGGCTAACACCTCAATTTCTGATAACAGTTCTTGTCTCAGTGAAGGAGATAGTATCACAGCTTCTTCAAATCATGGGAATCTGGAATCATCTTCCACTTCGGACTCTGAAGATACCAGCCAACAATCAGAAGGAAGAGAAACTCCATATATCCAGAATGGTTTCCCCGAATGTCATGAACCGAACAAACTGGGTACAAATGGGCAGCCTGTAAATGGTATGAAGTTCTCTGGAGTTCCACCTACGGGAGATTCTCTGTCTACCCATAATACTGATAATCGAGTTCACAGTGGCAGTAATATGGGTTCTCAACACCTCCAGGGCATGTATGCTCCAGTGCACAACCATAACTTACAGTATCCAGCATTCCAAGCTCCTTCAACTATGGGTTACTACCATCAAAACCCGGTTTCTTGGCCAGCTGCACCAGCAATGGCGTTCCATCATCCTAACCAGTATTTATACGCCAGTCCCATGGGTTACAGCCTCAACGGAAACTCACACTTTGGTGTACCATACAGTCCAATGCAGCATGTCACAACGACTCCTGTTTTTAACCCGAGTCCACCTCAACATGCTTACGAACCAGTTTCCAAGGCAGCAGGTTTGACCATCGAGGAGCGGGCTCAGACTTGCAGAGTGCAAGAAACCCTTTCACAAGAAGCTCACGAGGAGAGAAGGGCTCAAAGGGGGAAGATTGATAACTTTGCCAAACTGAATATGGGAAATAATGATTTCTCTTTGTTCCAGTTCGGATGGCCTCTGACACCTACAAACAATGGTGGAGCCATTGGAGATGGCGCTGTGAAAGTTTCAGCAGCTGCAGCAGCAGATCGAATGGAACGAGATTCAGCACACAATAAAAGAGGAGAGACAGTTGTGGAGGAGTACAATTTGTTTGCCGCAAGTAACAGCATAAAGTTTTCGTTCTTTTGAATAGAGATTTCGGGTTTGGGTGGGAAGGAAGATGCTTGGGTAGCTGTTTACGGTTTTCGCAGTCCCTGTTCTTCTTCTGCTGCTTCTTGTTTATTGAAAAGTTTGATGAGAGTGATTTGTATTGCAGAGCACACAATAATCTTCCTTTGAGAAAAAAAAATGCCAATTCTTAGCAAGCTACAGATTTTTATTTAGTTGATTGACATCAGTATATGTCCCCTGAGTGTTACCTTTTTCCTTCTTACATTTTCCCCCGGTTTTCTTGTTATTTCAAGGGATAGAGAGAATAATTCGAAGTGTGGTGGTAAAATGGAGGTTTTCTGAGTGAGATTCAGCAGCTGCTACTTATTTCCTCTTTCGTGTGACCCATTTATAAAAGGATTTCTTGGCCTTGACCTGTGAGACATTTCCGTTTTCCATTTCTCAAGAGGAAGTTGCAGTGCTGAGTGTTATTTCTATAGTGTGTTCGTCGACCCAAATTTTTCGACTCACACACCATGTAACGCAACATTTTGTCCTCGTCGATTAATATGACATTGTTTCCGACATGATTATCATGATCCGAAATGGTTTATTTGAAGATAAATGTTACATCAGCAATGCAGATCATTCTGTATCACATTTTTACGAGTTAGATTGTTGAAGATGACGCTTTATCCTTGGTATTAAGCCATCCAAAATATGGATCAAAATTTAGTTTTGACAACAAATATGGAATCATTTCCACTCGCTATACCAACATTGCACTGAAATCAGTGAGAGGAAAACTAACAAAAGAGAAAGAATACAACAAAGCTACTGCAATTTGCAGCTATGACTCCGTGGAGCCAGCAAATTGCAGAACAGCAAGATAGAACCCTGGCTCATCCACAAACTCCACAACCTCGAACGATTGCATAGCTGCAGCCTTCTGCAAAGACATCTCATCGGGCAGCTCTGAAACTATAAGCTCTTGATACTCTCCCCTTTGCTGCTCCAGCTTTTCCCTCCCTTGTGGATGGCTAATCACCACTCTCGCACCTACCCAAGATCCAAAACACAACAGCACGAGATCAAACACACCGCATCAGAAGTCACGATGAAAGCATTCAAGGATATGAAGAACTTGCGGTTACCAGGTGAGCAATGTCGGGCAAGTTTCCCAAGAACTTGCTCAAGCTTAGACGGCAATGCTGGCAAGAAATAGAGGAAGACAACATCGAGCGAAGCCCATTTGTCAGGAAGATGTATCAGCTCCCCTTGCCAGCATTTCACCCTGTCGTCATACTTCTCTTTCAAAATAGCTAATGTGAAGAGTGATTCATGGACAAGAAGCAAAAAACCACAAGGGGATGTATCAACCAGTTGATCCACAAATTCTTCTGAACTCATCGAAACCAAAACCTTTGATGTCTCGGTGATTCCTCCTGCAGAGATTATCCCGGTGATGTTTTGATGTACATCTTCTGAATCGAGAAAGGACCAGTCTTTCTCGACGAAATCTTCGAAGGTCATCACGGGTATGGCTCCTTCCTCTGAAGGAACTGCTGCACCGATTGATGATGAATGGCAACATAGAAAGGGGGCCTTTGGAGAAGGCGAGATGGACAGCCGAGGGATGGTATGGAAACGGTGGATCTCAGTTGAAGAGAGAATGGATAGAGGTTTTAGTTGGCTATGGCAAGAGAAGAAGAGTGAAGGTGACTGGAGAACCAGTGAGGAAGGTAGTGTGATGGAATTCATGGAAGATACTAAGCTCACCAAAAAATACCAGTCTGAAAGTTTGTCTAAAGAGATGCTTTCAGTGGCTTGCCCAAGTAGATATACTGAGCAACTAAGTCTGATCCACTTAACTCCCTGTTAAAGAAAACACAACTCAGTAAAAGCTAGGCAGGAAAAGCAAATATACGGTAACAGAAAGGATACAGAGATTCAATGGTTCATGCAGAAAAGTAAATAAGACTGCGATTCCAGTTTCCAGATTTCCAGTAAGAGCTTCTAACATACAAATGAATATTCCAAAATTGAAACATGCGAAGAATCAGGACAACAAGTGGTGCCAAAAACCCTAAACCCTGAACTTAATTCATGCTCCATTTCTTCTGCTGAAAATAAGATATTCATTCGACTCGGCGAGAATCCTACAGTATAAGAACATCAATGAAAATAAATTACTATGTTAAAGTTTAGTTCTTTCTGTCAGTAGAGTACAGGTTTCAAGTTACTGAAAGTTTCCAGAGGGAACCCAAAACCCAGAAACAAAGGGGGAAGTGAGGTTGCCTTCATTCTAGTCTAGTTTCTCGGAAACCAAACATAGGAAAATCAAAGGTGAGCAGGGGAAATGATAAGAGCGGAAGAAAGCAAACCTGGGAACTCTCCGGGGGGAGCGCTGGACAGAGGCCGACTCCAGAATCCGGATACGGTTGGGGGATGGAAAGAGAGAAGATGACTCGATTATTATTGGGCTTCACGACAGTAGCCTATGAATTAGCGCCTGTCTCTGGTCGTCACATGAGCCCAGATGTCAGATTGGGCTTGCTGCTTAATAACAAGTCCACAGAGCTCTGGATAAGAATTACGACTTGACTCACTTTATACTAGGGGTGTGCAACGGTTAGATTCGGTCCGGACCGGACCAAACTCATCAGAATCGCGGTCCTTTAGTGAAAGACATGTTAGGATCAAGGACCGGATCATTCTTGCATTTGGTCCATTTGGTCCGGTTTGGTCCGGTCCAAATATGAGCTCGGTCCACCATTTCTTCAGTAATTATAAAATTCATGAGGACCAAGGACCGGACCGCATTTTACTCGGTCTGGTCCGGTCTTAACAACAGTTTGGTCCGGTGTGGTCCGGTACGGCCCGGACCATTGCACACCCCTACTTTATACGACCTAATATCTATTTCGAGGATAGGAAAGGAAAACATATGTGATTTTACTTTCATTACATCATCATACTTTTGCTATCATAAAGTGGTTAAATTGTAGGCAAAATACACTTTCATAGCCAAAATTTTCGCGTTTGTGACAATAATAGCCATTTTTGAGGAAATACCAGATATAGCCAGACTTTTGAAAATTTTATGACAAATATAGCCATTTATGTTACAAATTTTAACGGTGTTAGTGATACCATTAGTTATTTTAACGATATGCTTACTCTGCTGCCAGCTCACCAGACACGTCATCGACAACTCATCCTCCAACAATAGGTGAAAGACACGCCATATTTTAATTTTAAATTAAAAAAAAACAATAATAGGACAGTGTCTTTCTCGCTTTTCCCCTTTCCTTCATCTTCCTCCGCGGGTGAAAGAGCTCCGGACTTCTCGGAGGCGATTTGAAAAGCGATCGCGCGTTCCAACTTAGGGTTTTCGTGCGCTATGGCGGCGATGCCGCTGGGGGGTCAGCTGCCTTCGTCGGACAAGCCACCGGAGATGAGTGGCACTCGGAGAGCGGCTACAGCAACCTCGTCACCAGAAGGGAAGGGTGAAAAGGAGACTGTGCACCCCAAAAAACGTGTTTGAGGGTTAAACTTAAACCAGGAGGGGGTGGGGTTGGACGAGGCCTCCTCGGAGATGGAAACGGAGGCTGCTCAGGAAAGAGAAGGCGGTAACGGGAAGGATAAACCCTCTGTCTGGCAGGGGGCGGCAGAGCGGCTGTTCAAACAGGCTGTCGAGGAGGAGGAATGGTACGTTGAAGAATCTGACTCGGAGGATGTGCTGACAAGGGAAAAGGAGGAGGAGGATGCTGTCCCTGACGAAGAACAAAACCCTATGGGGTCGTTTGGATGCAGGATTGTAATGAGGGATTTGTGAGTGATTTTAAAACAATCTCTCATTATGCAGGATTTTAAAACAATTCTGCGTTTGGGAAGACGAGAGATTGTATGCATCAAGAATTTTGAAAACCCACATGTGTGAGATTTCAAAATAGCTGATGGAGGTCAGCTATTTCTAAATCCTGCATTCTTCTTCCAATTTTTCCAATATTGACCCTTCCTCTGTGAGACCCTTTCTTCTTCCATTTCTCCTCCTAATCTTTTTCCTTCTTCCTTCCGGCGAGCAGCAGCAAGCCACCAACACCAAATTCATTTCTCATCTCCCAAATCCCATCCTTCTTATCTTCCTATCAATTTGATAAAACCAAATCCGTTTCTCATCTCTTAGCTTTTACCGTCATAGACTGCTCCCTGCATATTCCGGTCAAGCAGCGGCATGGCCGCATGGTGCCTTCCGGCGGCGATTCAGATCCGGTCAAGCAGATGCAAGGCATCTCGGATTTCTGGGTTCTCTTTCCCGACACGATTCTCAACCCATCCTCCGCAATTTCGCCGGATCTATTAGCCTAAAGAAAGACAAGATTTGGGTTCTAAATCTGGCTGCCGACGACCTCCTCTTGGCGGCATCAAATCCATCGTCTTGATCTGGGTTTCTGGGTTGAATTAAAGCAGGAAATCGAATCAAAGTCGTTCGAACATGAAGTTCGAATATGGGTTGAAGCTTGAAGTTCGAATCGAACTCAGAGGTCCTTGCCGTCAGGAGAGAGTTTGAGGAGGAAGATGACGAGCAGCTTCCAGAATACCCTATCTAGCGTGTGTGGTGAGACAACGACAGACAACCGATCGGAGATGATGGTCTGGATTTTCTTTTCTGGGTTTGACGTCGCTAATTTTTGGGAACGAAGATGAAGGAAGAGGGGCAAAATTGTATTTTGTATTTTCTCATTAAAAACCCAGGCTTATAAACAAACAAGTGATTTATTAAAATTCCTCATATTAAAAACCTAGGTTTTTTAAACGAGGGATTTTAACTCAAATCCCTCAATATTACATTCCTTGATCCAAACGACCCCTATGTGCCCAACAGTGTTATTCACGGCTGCCCAAAAAATACGCTGGAGGAGGGAGTGGCGATCGGCGCTGGTGGTGCGAGGATTGGGGAGAAGGGTCTCGTATCTCCCATTAGCGCGTAGGCTGAACTTCTTATGGGCACGAAACGGAACCATCCAGATTACTGATATGAAAAACGGGTGCTTTTTGGTGCGGTTTAAAAATAAACTTGACTATGAGATGGCAGCATACGGGGGCCCTTGGCTTCTTGGGGATACTTACCTGGCAATCCACCGATGGTACAAGGGTTTTAACCCGTGGACATCTGAAATAAAGTCGACGTTAGTTTGGGTTCAGCTGCCGGAGTTGCCGGTGGAGTTCATTAATGCAGAGGCTGTGATGCAAATTGCAGGCCTGATTGGGCGCCCGGTTCGTGTGGACAGGGCGACGGAACTGGGAGCAAGGGCAAAATTTGCTCGGGTGTGTGTGGAAGTTGATCTGACAAGGCCTCTGTTATCACAGTATAAGGTTGAAGGGATTACGTACTTAATCCAGTATGAGGGGTTGCAGAATATATGTGGGGAATGCGGATTGTATGGGGACGGTGGGAAGGAATGCAGGTGCATGAAAAAGAGTAGGGAGGTGCATGAGGAGGATGTCTCTATGGTGCCGGAAACGCAGGAACAGGACCAAACTAATGGAAGGGTGTATGGAGATTGGATGATGGTTCAGAGAAAGCCACGGAAGCAGGCTGGCCGAGACGGGGGGAAGAACGCAAAAGTTCCAGAAAAGTTTAATAATAGATTCGACGTGTTGCATGAAGTGGATGAGGGCCATGCATTCAACGTTGAGGTTGGAAAGGAAAAGATGGGGAGGGATAAGGATTTGGAGGAGGCTACTTATACAGGGAAGAGTTCGGATGGGAAGGGGGAAGTGGTGGGGAAGAATGACAAGGTGGGACTAAAGAGCAAGGGCGAGAAGGGTAGGGAGAGCGGGAAAGGAAGAGGAGAGGATTCTATTCCCCATAGTAATAAATATGTTAAAAAGGCTACTGGCCCCAGCCATGGACAACAACCGAAGTTGAAAGAAAAACCCAGTTTACAAGGGAAGGGGACGAGTGAGAAGGGAGGGGGTGTGGGAAGTCTATTCAACTAAATGAGGTTTCCCCGAGTTTAGCAATTAGGGAAGATCGGGTGTCCCGGGAAACAAAAGATAACACAGCTGTTAAGAGTCCAATGAAAGGTGCGCGGAACCGATCCCCTTCAGGTCATAAATGAGGATTTTAAGCTATAACTGCCGCGGGTTGGGGAGCAAGCGGGCAATTAGGTCGCTAAAGTCGCTGTTGCGACAAACATCCCCACACATGGTCTTCTTGATGGAGACAAAACAGTCATCAGAAGAGAACGAGGTACTGAGACAGGATATCGGGTTTGAAAAGGGTGATAGCTGGCCGATGAGAAGTAGTGGAGGGGGTAGGGCTGGCGGGCTGTGTGTTTGGTGGAGGGAAGAGATTAATGCCACGGTGATGTCAGCCTCTTTTAACCACATGGATGTCAAGATAACAGAAGAGTCGGGTGAGGTTTGGAGGTTTACGGGGGTGTACGGATGGCCGGAGAGCTCGGATAAAGGTCTCACGTGGGACCTGATTTGTAGGTTGGCGATGCAATGGGATGGAGCTTGGTTGTGCGGAGGAGACTTTAATCAAGTCTTGGCAGGATCGGAGAAGAGAGGAGGGAGACCACCAGCTGAGAATGACATGATGAGCTTTCATGATTGCCTGATGGATGCTAAACTGAGCGACTTGGGTTTTAGTGGGTATGACTTCACTTGGGAAAATAAAAGAGCGGCGGAGGGGTACATAGAGGAGCGGCTGGACCGCTTCTGTGCATCTCAAGAATGGCGATCAAGATTCGTAAAGGGGCGGGTGATGCACCTTGATAAAACAAGGTCGGACCATCGCCCAATAGTTTGCGATACTTGTGGTGAAGATGATGTTGACCCAGAATGGGGCTGGAGCTTCCGGTTTGAAGCAATGTGGCTGAAGAATGAGGATTGTGAGAGGGTTATTTCGGGCTCATGGGAAGAGGGTGGGGGACAGGATGTGTTGTCAAAGCTAAGCTTGTGTAGGGACAAGCTAAATGAGTGGAGCCGTCAAGCCTTCCCAAGATTTAAGGGACAGAGGCGGAAGATCAACAAGGCGCTCAAGGCTCTTGAAAATGCGACAAAGACAGATGTAAATCTAGAACAAAGCAAGCAGTTGGAAAAGGAGCTAGAGGAACTTGAGGACCAAGAAGAGGAATACTGGAAACAGAGGTCCAGAGTAGATTGGCTCAGGGAGGGTGATAAAAATACACCTTTCTTCCATAAGAAAGCTTCGGCGAGAAGAAGGCGGAATACGATCCGGAGAATACAGGGAGAGAACGGACATATTGCTACGACGCATGATGGGGTTTCGAATTGCTTGGTGGGCTATTTTGTACGGTTGTTCGAAGCTGGAGAGAGACCAGGGACAACGCCTATCCTGGATGCCATTAGCCCATCAATTACAAAGGAGGATAATGCGGACCTGCTGCGGCCTTTTCATCGAGATGAAATTTTCTTAGCTCTAAAACAAATGGGTCAACGAAAAGCACCGGGAGCTGACGGTTTCTCAGTTTTATTCTTTCGCAGGAATTGGCGCACGGTGGGTGACGATGTTGTGGAGCTTATAACGACCATATTGGAGACGGGGGAGATGGATCCAGAACTGAATTATACACTGATTGCACTCATCCCGAAGGTAAAATCCCCGCTGTCCCCAAAGGATTACCGACCAATCAGTCTGTGCAATGTGTTATATAAGATTGCTTCCAAGGTATTGGCGAACAGGTTGAAGTTGTTGTTAGAAAAAGTGATTTCGGAGGAGCAGAGTGCGTTCGTACCTGGAAGGGTGATAACAGATAATATAATGGCAGCGTTTGAGTGTTTCCATATGATGAAAAAGAGGAAGAAGGGAGGAACGCCCTATTTCGCAGCAAAAATCGATATGGCAAAGGCGTATGATCGAGTGGAATGGCACTTCCTGGAGACAATGATGGTTCGTATGGGATTTGCGGCGAGATGGGTGAAGCTCATTATGATGTGTGTGAGTACGGTTTCCTACTCTGTGCTTATTAATGGGCATAGATCGGAGAGATTTGTTCCTACACGGGGACTGCGTCAAGGGGACCCGCTATCTCCGTATCTGTTCCTGATTTGCGCAGAAGGCCTGTCGGCAGCTACAAAGAGGGCAGCCCAGGAGCGACAGTTGAGGGGCATTGAGCCTGCACGGGGGGCACCGGTGGTTACCCACCTGTTTTTTGCTGACGATAGTGTGTTCTTTTGCAGGGCTACCGAGCAGGAAAGTCTGACGTTGAAAAGAATACTAAAGGACTATGAAAAAAAATCGGGGCAACTGGTGAATTTTCAAAAGTCTGAGGTTTCGTTCAGTGAGAATGTGAAAACACATCAGAAGCTAGTAATCGGAGGCATCCTGGGGATGCAGATTGTTGAAAAACATGACAAGTATTTGGGCCTCCCTACGGTGGTTGGGCGCACTAAGAAGGAGATATTCACTGGTTTGAAGGAACGGGTCAGAGCGAAGCTCAAGGGGTGGAAAGAGAAGACTCTCTCGATTGCGGGAAGAGAAACATTGATAAAGGCGGTGGCACAGGCACAGGTGACTTACGCAATGTCTGTTTTTAGAATTCCTGAGGGCATCATAGATGAGATTCATAGTATGGTCACAAACTTTTACTGGGGTCAGAGAGGTTCGGAGAGGAGAGTTCATTGGGTTCGCCGGGAGGAAATGATATGTGCAAAGGAGGATGGTGGGCTGGGGTTTAGAGATTTGCATGGTTTTAACACTGCTTTATTAGCAAAGCAGATTTGGCGACTCTCTACACGGCCGAATTCTCTAGTTGCACGCATAATGAAGGCATAATACCATAGGAGAACAGGAATTTTGGAGGCATCTGTGGGGTACCAGCCAAGTTTCATATGGAGAAGCTTAATGAGTGCACAAGGATTACTGGCGGAAGGGTTAAGATGGCGGGTGGGGGATGGATCACAGATTCGGATATGGGGAGACAAATGGCTGCCGAAGGATCCTTTCTTTGTCCCGGATGTGCCGAGAGGGTTGGAGGTGGACGCAACGGTCAGGGAACTCATTCACCCAGCGGAAGAGAGGTGGGACTTACCTTTGTTGGAAGCATGTTTCTCTAGTCAAACAGTCCAGCACGTCTTGTGCATTCCCTTGCGCGACCAGGGGGAGAAAGATGAGCTAATATGGCACTCCAATGATAATGGGGAATACACAGTGAAGGATGGCTATAGAAAATGGTTGGAGGGTTTTAAAGTGAGCCATGGGATTGAGATACAGGGGGAGCAAGAGGTATGGAAGAAGTTCTGGAAGCTTAAAATCCCCCCGAAAGTTAAGCATTTCGTTCGGCGATTTGCACGGGAAGCTCTCCCAACAGCAGATAAGGTGAGTACGCGTAGTAAGAGGTGGAGTGATAGATGCCCGTTTTGTGATGAAAAGGAGACGCAGATCCATTGTTTCGGAGAGTGCGAATGGGTATCGAGGCTTTGGCGGGGGTCTGATTTGAAAGAATGTTTCCTCTGTCGGGATTCGCAGGAATGCTATGAATGGATGAAGAAGGTTATGGTCACTTTCCCGGAGGATGTCTTGGAGAGATGGTGCGTTTTGATGTGGTTTTTCTGGAAAGAACGGAACGCTCAACTCTTTAATGGAGTGAAATCACGGGAGGATGAAGTGGTGTCCCGGGCAGGTTACTTTCTGGATGATTACAAGAGTCACCAGCTTGCAGTTTCAAGTGAAAGAGTGGAGAGGGAGGTGTCCATGAAGGTATTGGAGAAACCAGGAGCGGGTGAAATCAAAGTTAATTCCGATGCAGGGATACTACCTGATGGTGGGACGGATTGGGTGTGGTGATTCGTGGTGAAGGTGGAAGATTTATTCTTGCTGCTGCCAAAAACGTGCGAGACCAGCCCGACACAGAGGCGGCAGAAGCGTGGGCAGCTGAGATGGGTCTTCAGCTAGCTAGCCAGGTGATGGGATCGAGGTTCATACTCGAAACCGACTGACAAACCCTGGTGCAGAAGATCGACAAGGCGAGCTCGATTCGGACGGAGACTGGAATTGTATGCAGGAGTATACGTAGTAAATTGGAAGTGCTGAACAATGGCTGCTGGAAGTTCATACAAAGGGAAGGGAATGCTGCTGCCCATATAATGGCGCATCGGAAGACTAGATGGAATGAAACGATGGTGTGGTGGGATACTCCACCAGACTTCCTAGCTGATCAGCTCCTGCTGGACGGGAATGGATCAGGTCAGTAACCTTATGGTGAGTAACTATGAGTAACCCGCCCACATCAGCATCCTCTCTCTTCTGGAAAGCCTTTAATTTTCCCCTCCTTAATCTTTGACGGATGATTTCTCACTCGTTTTAAGTCGAAATTTAATTTTTTTTGCACAGTTAGAACAGATTAATTGTGCTCTTCAAAATGATATCCACTTTGATATATTTTTCGAACAAAAAAAAATTGAGTCATTTTATACCAGTCTATACCATATGGTATTGACTGGTATTGAAATAAGAGCATACCTATGGTTTGAAAAGCGTACCGTGGTGGTATGACACAAACCAAAACTGTAGGATGGTTGAATACATGATAGTAAAAGTATATTAATTGTCATTTACGATTTTTAACATTGTATACCATAAGATACCATAAAATACCACCCCGTACCAGGGTGGTATTGTATGGTATTGTGTGGTATTTTTTTGTCTTGTAATTTGTTCACCCAGAAATTTGTAGATCCAATAGATCATGATGAACTCGTCCCTACTGTGCAAACGTTTTCAAAAACGAATTAAAAACGAAGAAGATACCATGTGGTATGTAGTTGGTACCGAGAGGTCAGAATTTTTTTTTCCTCAAAAAATATTGAAAATTGATATCATTTTGTAGAGCACGATGAACTCGTTCCATCTGTGCAAAAAAAACTAAAATCCGAGTTAAAACGAAAAAGATATGAGTCGATTAAGAAAGCTAGTGAAAATAAAAATGGGCTTTAATTCTCCATCCTTAGATCTGAATTTTCTAAATGAAGGGTCCAGATTTGGTTATTGATGGGTGCATAACCCACAGAGGGTGATCAATAAAAGTTTACAGGATCTTTCTATAAAAAAAAAAAAAAAATCATCTTCCTCCTCTCCTTCCTCTCTACCCTCCCACAACCCGTCGATCGTCACTTCAACTCAACCGTCGTCCAAAACTCTCCACCCCAGCTGCTACTCTCTATGTCGACGAGATTTAGAGCAAAAAATCCAGGCGTTGCCTCCAAACAACGATCTTAAAGCTACTCAAAATTCCGTCTACCACCCTTTTCATTTGCAGGAAGCCACATATCGATCAAACGTCGAAAGACTCGAGAGTGAATCCGGAGTTACGGGCGGAGTTCAAGAATCGAGACGATAGACTGATTGAATCGCCGTATTCATTCTGTTTCAGATTTGCCTTCTTCTCTCTATTCTGGGTCCGCTCTTCAAGAAGATTAGCAGAGGTTTCGAAATCTCCATAGATCTGCAACAATCCCTTCTACATCTTCTCTGATGACTGGGTTCGTAATCTCCATAGATCTGCAACAATCCCTTCTTCCGAAGATCAAATCCAGGGTTTTGGCAAGAACTGGTTTTTTGGGTTTTTCTAATGGGCTTTTTGGGTTTCTCTACGGTAAGATGGACATTCTCAATTACAATAAATATGTCTTCTTCTCTGCACTCTAGCGCTGCTCTGTATTATTCTTTTTCTCTCAACTATTTGGAGTACAGATCCAAGTTGAGAAATTGGGAGATTTTGGTTTGAGAATATTTTCTCATCAACGGCGAGGTGGAACCGAGATTACCGCCCAGCTCCGAGATAAATCGCTCAACGATCGCCGGGAAGCTCCAATGGTGTGGGCGCGTCTCCGTCGGAGTCATCTGCGGAGGATACTCGATCTCCGCTCTCGCAATTGGGGCACGAAACTGGGTCGTCATCTTGCTGCAATTGGGGAACGCAACTGCAGCGAATAAGTCTCCATGTATGATTATCAATTCTTTCTTCTTCTTTTTTCCAGCGTTCAGATCCAGCGGCGGATCCAGGATATAGAAGTGCACTGGGCCGGATTCGAACATAAAATTAAATACCGTAAACAAAAAAAATTATAGTTTGCATTACAATGTCAATTGTACACGACGGTCTTTTAATTTAGCAAATTCGTCAATAATTGAGTCTTCATCCATACCAATAACATACTCTCTTTCAAAGAAAATAGTCAAGCAATCAGCAAGAAATTCATCGCCCATCTTGTTGCGCAAATCAGTCTTCACATGTTTCATTGCTGAAAAGGATCTCTCTGTAGTAGCCGTTGAAACAGGCAATGTCAACACTAGACGAATCAACCGACAAATCAATCTGTACCGTGCTTCCATCCCTGTTTCCACCAGCTTCTCTAGTAATTTTGCAAGGGAAGAAACATCATATTCCTGACTATGAACCACATGATCGGCATAATATCCTAGCTCATTCTGCAAACAATTCATCTCATTGCCTTCAAAGTCTCGAGGATAAAACTCTTCAGCAAGTCTGTAAATATTTTCTTCATCAAAAGACCGGAAAGAACTTTTAGGGTCTAGTGCACCACTCAACTGCAGCAATCTGACTGATGACTCATTGAATCTTGAATTCAATGTTCCCAACTGAAAATCTATGCATTGATTAAAGTATTCAAAATGGTAGCGGTGCTCAAGAGTTGTTTGCTTCTCACCACGTCCAAGTGTAGCATTCATATTAGGCACCTTTATGGCATGTTTTGAGCAAAAAGATTTTACCTCTTGGAGTAGCTTGTCCCATCCTTCATCCCGTAGCTTTTGAAGTTTAACTTTTGCCATGGAAACAAATCCAACTGCAGCTACAATGTCAACAGATTCTTGTTGAAATGCTTGACAAAGAAAATCCGTGATATCCATAATCCCTTTCATCAAGTGAAGATTGAACACAAACTCAAAAGTCTTGATATTTTTTGAAGCACCTCTGGCTTGAGCTCGTTGTTCTCCTTCTTTAGAATGGCAAAGATCCTCTAGAACTACACATGTTGCATTGAACATGTTTATAATGCTCAATATGGAATGATAATGAGATCCCCAACGAGTTGGCCCCGAACGCTTTAACGATGTCATTTGATTAGCTCCTTGTCCAGATTGAATTTCTCCAGCATCCAACATACCATCAAGATCTTTTTTGTGAATTGCTTGCAACTCTCTGATCCGTTTAGGAGAAGCCTTCACAACATTTATGATACAATCCAATATGGAAAAGAAATCCCATATAGGATCACATACCTTTGCAGAAGTAACCAATGCCAACTGTAATCTGTGAGCAAAACAGTGGACAAAATAGGCATATGGGCAATCTCTAAGAAATAATGCCTTGACTCCATTAAACTGTCCGGACATATTACTAGCACCATCATATCCTTGCCCTCTCAATTTTTCAATTTGAAGGTCATACTGAGAGAGAACGTCACAAATAGCTTGTTTTAGTGTTTCTGCAGAAGTATCAGCTACACTCTTGAGAGCAAAAAAGCGTTCAGTTACTATACCAGAAGAACTGACATACCTCAAAATAATAGACATCTGTTCCCTTCCTGCTTCATCAACTGCTTCATCAACAAGAATAGAGAAACAAGAATCTCCAATCTCCTCGCGTATCTTACAACGCACTCTATTTGCTATGATTCCCAATATCTCCTTCTGAATGCTTGGTGAAGTGTATTTCGCATTTCCTGGTGCGTTACGAAGAACTACACTATTGATTTGATCATTCAACTTCGCTGCAAAACCAATCCAAGCTAGAACATTCCCCGGATTCAAAGAATCATCAGATTCATCATGCCCTCTAAAAGAACTTCCTTGTAAAGCCAACTGTTTGACAACCATAATTGTTGTTTTCAACCGCAATCGATGCTTTAGAACTTCTTCTCCACCAATTCTGTGCATCACTTTATCAATATGACCGGAGGGTTTCATCAAGGCATCAGCCGCTGTAACACATTTATTATGGCTTGAAGAAGCTGATGAACCAACATGAACAAGGAACACACATTTCTTACCATTAACCCTCTTCCAATTATCAAATCCATCTTGCACTAGTGCAGAAGTTTGATTCCCATTCATCTTGTCTCTAAACAAAAAACATGGGAAACAATATGCTTTATGTGTTGTAGGAGAATACTCCAACCAATCAAATTGTGAATACCATGCTTCTTGAAAGTGACGAATTTTCTCTGAATATTCTCGCGGCTTATAGTATGCGAGTTTAGGTTGATAAGCCTTGTGTATTAGGTATTTTCTCCTAACCTCATCTCTCAACTCAAGAGCCCAATCACATATTTGTTTCCTCTTTCCTGGATCTCTTTCAATTTCAACTCCACTATCAGATGATGGAAGTAGATTACCGGATACAGGAGAAGTAGATGATTCATTCTGAACTGGAGAGGAAGATGGTTGACCTTCATTAGGAGGGACTTCTTCGGTCTGACACGTTTCAGATTCCTTACGTTGATAGTAAGAAAACAATGTTGTTTTCGCCTTTTTATTTGGTGGTTGAGAAGATGTCATGATGAAATATATTGAAATCTGCATAATTGCACTGTACAAACTTAGTTTCTAAGTAAACTAAGAGTCTAAGACAGTAAGATCAATTGGCAAATTGCAATTACGGAATTACCTGTTGCTGACTTGCTGTTGCCTTTGTCGTCTAAGTCATCAAGGGAATTGTCGTCTAAAATCTAATCACTATTCACTACTGAAAACTGACTACTGTCACTGTGATTCTGTGAAGGATTGAAGGGAAAGGGATCAAGGGAACTTGATTTGATTATAGGCGCTGGGGACTCGGCCTGGGGAGAAAGAAGTAAGAACGGAAACGGAGGGGAGGGGATACGCGGCAGCCCGGTGCCGCAGCCGGTGACTGAGGGTCGGGGACGCCGGGACGGGGAGGTGGGGTGGGTAGCGCCTGGCCTGCGAAGTGCGAACAGTCTGTTCGTCTTCTTTCTGGTCGCTTTTTTTTTTTTTTTTGTACCCAGAGTCCAAACTTGCAGGGGAAGCTAGAATAGGGGCGGGAGATTTTAGTTTTGGTCTTTAGATTTCAGATTGGGCTGTGGCAGTCAGTGGGGCTGGGCTGGGCTGTGGCAATGGGGCTGCCGGGCTGGGACGCTGGATGCCTGGGTCTTGGGGTTGGGGAGGCAGGGGGGGCTGGGCCCGGGCCCAGTCTGGCCCCCCCCTGTATCCG